GCCATGTCTCCCCATTATGAGAAAAAGCAATATGAGAAGAAAGCAGACGTGCAGAGATGAGCAGAATACAGGAAGCTGCAGAGAAACAGAGGCAGTGCTGTTCCTCTGGTCCTCAATCCACTCTCTCTTATTGTCTAGGCCAGTTTGATTTGGAATTTCTGTTACTTATTAAAAATGTATCCTCAAAAACAAAAAAAGAAAATAAAAACAGTGTGTCCTCTCTAAGACACCGAGGCAGGGTGCATGTACTGTCAAAATCCTACACCCCGAGTTCTCCCTGCGTTGGGGGCGTGATGATCTGGACCAGACTTCTGTGCTAACTCAGATCTTGGTCATTCCAGACACAGGAACCTGCTTGTATTCCAGCTTCCAAGTTGTATTTGTCACTATCTTTTCCTGGTTACCTTACTTCACAACATATATTTGACTACATCTACCATCCTTGCTTGTGTGCGTGCTTAGTCGCTCAGTCGTGTCCAGCTCTTTGCTACCCCATGGACGGTAACCCGTGGGCTTCTCTGTCTGTGGGATTTCCCAGGCAAGAGTACTAGCATGGGCTGCCCTTTCCTTCTCCAGGGGATCTTCCCGACCCAGGGATTGAACCCAGGTCTCTTGCATTGTAGACATATTCTTTACTGTCTGAGCCACTATGGAAGACCATCTCCCATCCTTACTCCTGCTTAAAACCTTTTCTTTGGGTTTTCAGTGAATTGAGGATGCAGAGCCAAATCTCTCCTCTGGCCCGTAGGGCCCTGCGTGGTCTGGCACAGAAGCTCACTCTTGGGCTTCTTGACCGATGTCACCTCCTTCTCAAAGCTCAGTGCTCTGGTTGCCCTGCAGCAGACACCGCCTGTCCCTAAGACAGCCCCTCCCCTGTCTCCAGCTCCTGGTGTGTAAGAGGATTCTGCCAGTGGGTGTGTTTGGGGAGCCCTGTGCGTGCAGACCCCGAATCTGCTTCTGCTCACCATTGCCTTCCGTCTCTGGCAAAGAGGAGGCGGGACAGAATGAACAGATACGTGAATGAATTCCTAACACTAACAGAAAGGGTCAGTTCTCACTAAGCCGAATCTCTGCAATTAATCCCTTCCAGCAAGTCAGAACATGATATAGAACTTCTTGAACCACCAAATCAGGTGTCATGATGTCCCCAGGAGTCTCACACCATCAGATTGGGGGGGGGCACACCTCTTCAGTGGATACAAGCAGGATCAGCTGCTCAGTGATGCCTTGAGAATTGCCAAGGCATGGAGTTACTGCTGTTGTTTCCACTGGATTGAGGAAAAGACTGCAGCTGACACACGCCTCTAGTCTAAAAAATATGTCTAATTGATTTCAGGGGTGGTGTGGGGGTGGCTCTTATAAGATTCATTGCCAAACCCTTGAAATCTATGTATATTTGAAGTGACAAAGTGTGCTGTGCTTCCCAGGCAGCTCCCACCCCCTGTCGGGATGGATGGAGGTCGCGCTGAGCCACAGGTTGCCTCAGTGGTACCAGCGCTGAACTGTGCAGTCAGAACCCTGAGTTTTAACTCCAGCCTCACCACTTGGGAGCAGGGATTGTCAAACTTTAAAAGCATGCATTAGAAGCTGACCTATCCTCTCTGCTCATCTTTTGTAGATGCTGATTTGGATGGCTGGCTGGCTTGGCATTTGGTTAGTACTCTTCCCTGTGGCTCAGATAGTAAAGAATCCATCTGCAATGCAGGAGACCCGGCTTCAATCCCTGGGTTGAAAGGACCCCCTGGAGAAGGAAATGGCAACCCACTCCAGCATCTTGCCTGGATATTCCCATGAACAGAGGAACCTGGCGGGCTACAGTCCATGGAGTCACAGTCAGACACGCCTGAGGGGCTAACACACACAGATACTTCCCAGATCACAGGTCACAGTGGAAGGTGTCCCTTCCTGTGAGTTAGAGCTCAGGCTCTGGCATCAGGCTAGTTTGGAGCCCTGACTCTACCGTGCGCTTGGGTTAGGGGCCTGAGGCATCATTAAACTCTCAGCTCTTTCTTGATCTATAATGAGGGGTCAGGGTAGGGGGCGTGGAATCTGCTGTAGGCCTCAAACAAAAAGCAATTAGCAAGACACCCTTCAACAAGTGTTGAATATATCTGCCCCAGTGCTTTTCCCCATGAAGTCAAAATCCAGCTCCAGGTCTTTTTACCCAGCTCAGAATTCCACATTCTACACCACAAGGACGGGCCTGCCTGGGAGACCCACTGGAGGCAACAGCCAGAAGCGGGGGAGCCGCGCACATCTCTGACATTGGAAGTCTTGCCAACCAGAGGAGAGGACCCTGGGGTCTGCTGCCCATGCTTCTCCGTGGGCTGAAGGGAGCCCCGGGGTGGGGCCAGACCCCCATCCAGTGGGCTCCATGTCTCCATGGGCTGGAGGAGGCCTCAGGTGTCGGGCCAGGCCCCATTCAGTGGGCTCCAGGTGTCTTCAAGGCAGGCAGCCCAAGACCCGTTTCCTCTCCCTGAAGCTCGGCAGACACCTACCTCGTTGGCCTCTCAGGGTAAATGAGAACGGGCGATGGTATCGTTTACCTCCCATGACAATGTCAGACATATAAAGAGCAAGACATTTTGTGAGATTGGAGAACAGGTTCTTTGCTGAACTGAAACCTAAACTGCTGAAGTTCAAAGATGGAAGGGATCTTAGAGAGACTTTTGTGCTTTCCTGAGGCCAGAGAGGGAAAGGAATTTTTTCACACAGTGAGTTGGAGGAGTGATGGGAGAAAAATGCTCATCTTGGCCCTGAGTTCAGTTATTTTCCATTATTCCACACTGTCTTTGCCTGCTCCCTCAGATAATTTATACTGCAGCTCTTTGTGAGAATTAAATGTTGGGGAAAACTGCAGAAGACCTGCAGTGAGAAGACCCCAGCTGCTCTGACTGTGTAGCTTGCAGGGGGCAGCAGGGATGCTGAGAGAGTCAGGAGGGCTGGTCCCCACCCTGCCTCTGCACAGCCCCGCCACTCTGAGACTCTGGGGAAGTCACTCTCCCTTTCTGCATCCTTGTTTCTAGGTTGACGGGGGTGGATGACATTCTGAGGCATCCATCGATTCTGAAATACCTGTGGTCCAATTCCCCCAGTGATCAGAGACTAAGACGACTGGCTTTCTTCCAAACAGCCCATCCTGGACATAACAGTAAAACTCAAGAGAGATTTGAGGATAAATTGACAAAGGACTGAAAGCTTTTTTTTTAAAAAAAAAAAGCTGCACAATGTGAAAGAAGCCAGCCTCAAAGAACACAGAGCTAGCTTCCATTTGTATAAAATGTCTAGGAGGGAAAAACCCACAGACAGGAAGTAGAGCAGTGGTCGTCAGAGTGACCATGCTCAGAGCAGCGTGGGGTCTGAAAGGACCACCACGTGTGCCCTCTGATAGAAGCTGCAGAAGGACAGTGCATGGAATGCTAATCACCGGTGTTTCATCCCCACAGAACTGGGATCCGGAGACGAGAAGTGACTTGAATGATGACCCGCATACCTCGACAGGGGCAGAAGCGGGAGAGGGACCCCTCGGTCTCCCCTGTGGCTCTCCACAGCCCCTAACCACACCCCCCAAACCCAGGCACCATCTAGTAAGAAGAGCCACAGAACCTGGACAAAGGCAGGAGGTGGTGTCTGCCCTTTCCTCTCGGGGTTCTACGCCGTCTCCAGTGCTCTCGCTCGGCACCCCCAGAGATGCTTGACCCCAGAGTCACTCTTCGCCCACCTCCCCAGCGCCTTCACCCTGCAGCCCCTTGGTTTTCTGTTTCCAGCCCGTTGGCGACCGGTGCTCTCAGCCCCCAGATAGGCCAGCTTACCCTATGACCCCACTAGGGATATCTCCCTCCCTCGGGGACCCTTCCTGGGCTGCGTCGGGCTCTCTCTCCAGATTCTCTCCTCTCATGATCTCTGGTCACACCTCTCCACGTGCTTCCTGAATTTCAGCAGCTGCAGGGCCCAGGCCCACGTTAAACGCAACTTCATCAGTGTCTCCTCCACTGGACCGTCTCGGCCCCGCCCTGGAGGGTGCAGGAACCTCAAGTGCAGAGAACGGGACGGCTGTGTTGCTCAGTCCCGACTCACCAGCATCCACGGGAAACGTCGCTTCAGGCTTGTGCGGGCCTCTCTGCTCTCTCTCCCTGCTCCCCGTCTTCTCTCTCTGTCTCCATCTCTCAGCATGTCTGGCTCCTCCTCTGGCCCTTCCTCACTTACAGCCCTTGTCTCCCAAGGGGTAACAGCTGGGTGTTTGCTGTCATCCCCTGCAGATGTGGGTATCTTCGGGAAATGTGTCAAGTTGTTTTCTGCGTACGTAGTATTTCGCATGTGCATTAACGATGTCTTGCTGACACTTCACTCAGCACATCTGAGACGTAGCCGTGTTATGGGGTGTTCCTCTGGTCTGCACTTCTGACTGCCCCGTGTCCACAGCTCACCTGTCTGTTCTGCCACTGATGGGCAACTGGGCACCTTCTACCACCTGCTACCGCAAATGGACAGCCGGCCATGCGCCGTCTTATTTCTGCTGGTTCCGCCCGCCTTCCCGCCCTCAGAGGCCGTCAGCGTCCCTGCCCCCACGCTCCCTCCCACACGCCCCATCGTACCTCCTTGTCGTTGTTGTCAGGATAAAAAGTTGTACCTTTCTTTCCATTAGCATTTTTAAATTACTGAGTCTCGATGTTTTCACTAAACACGTTAGTAATTTTGACTTCCCCATCTGTCAGTAGCCCTATTTATAGCCTCAGCTCATATTTGTACTCCGTTTAGTGTCTCTTTTATTTTCAGGAATTTTACCTTTTATTACTGATATTAATCATGTGTCTGTTTCAGAAGGTGGGAAAAAAATCTTTTCCTGGCCTGTCATTAATTTAACTTTTTTTTTTTTTGAGTGGGGATTGTTATGTTCATGTTGTAAGACCCATTCTTGCTCCCCTGAGGCTGGGGCTTCCTGTGGCACCTGGCCTGTCGCTCTGCATCCTAGCTGACCGCCCCAACGTGTCCTGTCTCAGCTAGGCACCGCCCGCCGTCCTCCCCGACAGCCCCCCTCGCCCGCCAGCCCGCCGCCGTCCCCGCCGGCCGTGCGGTCTCCTCTCCCGGCGCCATCGCTGCCCCGGTTTGTTGCTCAGCGGCTCTCACCTACACTGTCGGCCGGCCTGCTCTCCCTGCCCCGGACCCCACCTCTCCCCACTCCACGCTCCCAGCTGTGTGCACTCTCTGTGACCCTGTGGACTGTAGCCCACCAGGCCCGTCTGTCCTTGGGATTCTCCAGGCAAGCCTCCTGGAGTGGGTTGCCAGGCCCTCCTCGTCCAGGGGATCTTCCCAATCCAGGGATCAAACCTGGGTCTCCTGCACTGCAGGCAGACTCTTTACTGTCTGAGCCACAACGGAAGCCCCCCAGCTGCTTTAGTGCAGTTTAAAAAAAAAACCCAAGTTAATTATTACTTCTACTACGACTCGTAATGCTATGACTTCTGTTGGTCTGGGGCCGACTGGACCCAGAGGCTCTCACTGGGAGGCAGCCACCCCACTGCAGCCAGACGTGGCTGAGCAGAGTCTGTCTGGAGGCCCCCTCGCTCCCGTATCTGCTGGCTGGGGCTGCTGATCGGATGCAGCACCTACCTGAGGGCTCTCCATGTAGCCTGGGCTTCCTCAAGGCACGGTGGCTGAGCTCCAAGAACGAATGGCTCCAGAAAGAGTTAGGAAGAAACTATTTCCTTCCACAAAAGTCACACGGGTCACTTCTGCCTCAGTGTCTTGGTCCAGGCAGTCACCGAGATCCGCCTGGCTTCCAGGGGAGGGGACGGACACTCCTCCTGACTGGGGAGCCGTGGGTCACATGGACTTTTGTTATGGACCAACAGACGTCATAGCATTACAAGTCGTAGTAGCAGTAATAATTAACTTGGGTTTTTTTTTAAACTGCACGAAAGCAGCTGGGGGGCTTCCGTTGTGGCTCAGACAGTAAAGAGTCTGCCTGCAGTGCAGGAGACCCAGGTTTGATCCCTGGATTGGGAAGATCCCCTGGAGGAGGAGGGCCTGGCAACCCACTCCAGGAGGCTTGCCTGGAGAATCCCAAGGACAGACGGGCCAGAGAGCACATGGACTTTTGTTATGACCCACAGTTGGAAACTATAAGCTGCCTCACCGGGAAGCTGGTTAACTTCTCCGAGCCTTGGCTTCCCCATTGGTAAAATATGGACAGCAGCACAGACATCACGGGAAGGCTGGCTGAAAGGCTTTTCTCCAGTGAAACCTGACTTCTCTTAGTAAATACTGAGCATCTGATTGAACACGCCTGAGGTTCATGGTCTTAACAAGCCCATAGTCACTATTAGCTTCAAGTTCCCTGTGGAAAATGACAACGTGCAATGTTCCAAGTCAGTATCTCCATTTGGGAGTGGGCCTTTGTGAAAAACATCAGAGCAGGAAATTGCCCGCCTGTGTACTTCTCCCCAAGCCACTACTGCACCCTGTCTTCCCTGTTTTCACCCTTGTTCTGAGCTGCTTTCAACAGATCTGGGCGTATTTCCAGCATCCAACACCCTTAACTGTTTTGTCTTCAAATATTTCATTTTGGAAGAAATCCATGTTTAATTAAACAAACAGCCCTGTCTGGGGTAAGGAAAAGACAGAATATTCCCATTTTTATTACAAGAAGCCTTATGTATCTCTCTTCTTTTTATCTGACTATGCCTCTCATATTCACAAATTTCTCCCCATTAATGTCACTATACAACATGTACAAATTTTATGAAATACAAGGCTTAATTTTTTTATCCCCTTCCCCTTTCCCCTTTGGTAACCATAAGTGTGTTTTCTATGCCTCTGGGTCTATTCCTGTTTTATGTATAAGTTCATTTGTATCACCAGGGGGTTGAAAAGAGTTGGACATGACTTAGCAACTGAACAACAACCACCAATCATTTTCTTTAGATTCTGTATGTCAGTGATATCATATGATATTTGTCTTTCTCTGACTTACTAAGTGAAGTAAGTCACTTACTTAGTATGTGACTTCTTAGTATGATAATCTCCAGGTCCACTCATGTTGCTGCAGATGACATTATTTCATTCTTTTTAATGGCCAAGTAATATTCCAATGAATATATATGTACCACATCTTCTTTACCCATTCATCTGTCAATGGACATTTAGATTGCTTCTATGTCTTGGCTATTGTAATAACTGCTGCTATAAACAGTATGCAATGTGAAGTCCAAGGGAGTATGGACTTTGGGGTCAGACAGATAGAAGTGCAGTTTAAAGGGATGGAATTTACTTGTTGGCTTTACACACATCACCTTGCCCACTGGGTCTCATTTTTCTTATCTGGAATGATTAGTTAGTAGTTTGTTTTTAGTGCTTAAAATATCAAAATCTATTCTAAGAAATACCAGCTCCATGATGCTAATAGATATTCCCATATAAACTGATGCATTATCAAACATGGTTCAACATCTCTAAGAAACTATTCTTTTAAACTTTATGACTCCCAAAGGGATCTTTCTAGTGACTATTCTAAATCTTCAAGGAAGTACTAGACTATTCAGTTTTTCAATACATCTCCAACACACTGGAAGCATTTTCCACAGAAAACCCTAGTGTTGTAGGAACACACCTGGCACCATGCTGGTGTAAGACAGAACACACATTCTAAAATGCTACCTCCTGTTATTATTACTATTATTGCTAACATAACTATTATTCAGTTATTAATTATTACTTAGCAGCAACAATAATAATGCAAGAGGCCCAAATCTGAAGAAATCCAAGTTACAGTTCAAAATTCAGAGTTTTCCAAACAAAAATTTGCATGTTGGACTTTCCTTGGTGCATCTCCTCTGAATTCTACTGGTTGTAGAATAGACAACTTGAATACAGACAAATCCCTCTTCCCCTTGCTAATTAGCAAGTTGGATTGTTGAGACGGGACTGCTCCATCACAGCCGAGATGATGCCATTGCTTTTAATTAACCATACAGGGACTTGAATAGATTCAAAAAGAAAGGAAAGTTCTGAACATGCCCACTACCTGGGTTAAGGACCAAGGAAGTCAAAGAAATAACAGCTGTGGGCATGCGTTTCCTATTGAACTCCTTACATGACAACAAATTTACACATACAATCCGTGGGGTTGCAATGAGTCAGACACGACTGAGCTCCATCACCACCACCATGACTTTGAATATTTATAACTGTCTGTGTTTTCATAACATGGGGCTAATGATAACATGGACAGAGAAAGTGGTACACTCACGTAATTCTGCAGTGCCAGCTTTTTGTCTAGTGCCTTCCTGGATTATGCTATTAATTCCTTGAAAAGTGTGAATCACACAAGTTGCTAGGTGATGAGTGATTTTCCATTATTCATGAATGCATTCTTGTATATAAACAGCAGCCTCTGTGTGCCAGCATCTCTTTATTCACTGAGACAGAGGCCCCCACCCTCTGCAGTCTGGTTCTAGCCCTGCAGCATCCCTAGGTCTCCGGGATGAACGGAAAACCAGAAAGCACCCAGGCCTTGGGCTCTTTCTTGCCTCTGGGTTCTTGTCTAGACTCTCCCTGTGTGGGAGTCTGGGCAAGATTCACCATCATTCCTCTTCTCTTTCCTAAGATGAGCTAGATGCCTTCCGATTCCAAGACTGCATGACTCCATGGCTTCAGGCTAAGAGAAAAATGAAATCCTTGGGGTGGATGGAGAATACAGGAATATTTACTTTGTCACTGGCCCTAGCGATCTTTTACAACTACCCAGCAGACGTTTACTGAGCACTTAGTTACTAGGCCGTGGGCTGGACGCTGGAGAAATAGAGCTCATGATCAAAGTCGGGAGAAAAACATATGCCAATAAAATAACGTGGTTTGTGGTATTCAATCCTGATGTGGACATGCTACCAAAGAGATTACAAAAGTCAGGGTGGTCGCAGCAGGCCTCACAGAAGTCATTGCTTTGAAGCAGAATTCTGAAGGTTGAATGTGTGTTTGGCAGTTGAGTAGGGATGGGAGCTCTGGGTAGAGAGAACAGCACATGAAAAAGTGCTGTGAGACTCAATATAGAAAAGGAAATACACACACACAGAGTAACTATATATAGTAACATCAATCTACAGGCCATCCAGAAAGCCAACTCAAGGGCTTCCCAGGTAACTCAGTGGTAAAGGATCCGCCTGAAATGCCGAAGATACAGGTTCAATCCCTGGGTTGGGGAAGACCCCCTACAGAAGGAAATGGCAACCTACTCCGGTATTCTTGCCTAGGAACTCCCATGGACAGAGAAGCCTGGCAGGCTACAGCCCATGGGGTGACAAAGAGTCAGACACCGACTGAGCAACACCAACAACAAACAGGAAACCAACCCGCGACCTACAGGAGGTCAAACTACTGTCTCTAGCAACCAACTCAGGAAGTCAAACAGTAACCCCATCACAATCAGCCCCACATGGCCAAGTCTTGTTTAATAACTGACAGCTTCCCTAATTTTTGCCCCCATTTCCAGCTTAGGACCCAATGGAATAAAACAATAGTCACCCCTAAACTGTCCCACTGGAGGGAGGTAGTCCACCTCCAGCTTCTCCAGGCCAACAGCCTCCAATCAGGGGACATCTGAACTTTTGTGTTTCCTCCACTATAAAGCTTTCCCACTCCTCTGCCTTGATTCTCTGCCAAATGTAAGAGATGGTGGTTGCCTCCCTTGCTAGAGCAAGTTCAAAGTAAATAGCCTTTGCTTATTTTCATTTGGGAAATCTTCTTTTAATGTCAGAGCACAGAAGCATGAAACCATATGTTTTCTGTAAAGAACTGAAAATGTGTATTTACTGTAGGTGGCTTTGTGTGTGTGTTTCTATGAATGTTAATATGCACTGGTTGAGGGGAGGATGATGGCAGATGGGTTTGGAAAACAGGCAAGACCAAAGCCACTTAGACTTTTGTATAATGTATCAGTTAACCATCGCTGTAGAATAATATTACCACAATCTCAGGTGCTTCAAGCAACACACATGTACTATCTCCTGGCTCAGGAGTCCAGGCACCCTCAGTTTCAACCAAGGTCTCTGCTGGGACTGGACTGAGGCTGGTCTGGGGACGGTTCTGCTCCTGGCCCACACGGCTGCC